AAAAAGGGAGAAAAAAGTGGAGGAGAGTGTGACGGCCTATTAAGACCTGAACAGTAGGAACTGGCAGGTCCCAACTGCATTGTGATCTCATCCCTCCTAGAATGAGGGAGGGCAATCCGGATTGCAGAGATATAACCCTTGGGGCCATATCTCAATAAAATCTGAATTAAAAAGAAGAAAATGATAAAAAATGCAAAAGAGAAATGACCGGTTTTCTTTAGGAACATGGATCTGAGATCAGATCTCATGGTGGAAAGAAACTAACCGTTTTTTGTAGGCCAGCTCAAAACGGCTAGCTCCGGAATGAGGTGGTAGCCCAAAATGGAAAGAAACAAAAGAGGGAAAGGGACAAAACTGTGCATTTGGCCCAAAAGGAGAGTCAGATGCACCAAAAATTGAAAAAGTGGACTTAGGGGCTCAAAATTGAAGCAAGGGCTACTTGGGGGTGACACAGAATATTGTTGGCCTTGGATCTCAGCCAGATCCAAGGCTGAAAATGTGCTGCTGCATGAAAAAATATATCGGTCAACCAAAAATGAGGTACAAACTGAAAAAATCGAGAAAAAGTTCACTAAGCGTTTTTTTTTCAAGTAAAGTTGCCCCTTGTGCATTAGGATCCACGGGGCCGAATTTTTGAGGTGAAAAGGAGACCGAAATAGGCCAAGAGGGAATCCGAGTTGGTACCAACCACTCAGACTGCATGTACTTGCCCAAAAAGAGGTCGGGGTACCTCCGGAAGGGTCTAGTAGTAGAATTTTGTCTTGGGGGTACCTCGGTTCACCTCAAGGCACATGGGGAGGTCCATGTGCTGGCCGGACTGCTCGTTTCAGCCTACAAAAGCTGGGGATTCAGTCCGCTACTTTCACAATTGCATGAGGAGTGTCCATGCTGCCCAAGTGAGCTCATACGAGCACTCTTTCACTTGGAGAGAGGAGAGGGGAACCCATGCCAGTTTAGGAGCTTGGTGGAGGCCATGAGCTAGGGAGAGGAGCTCTAGAGACTAGTGGTAGTGAGGGTGGCCCTAGGGAGGTGATCCGCCATAGCCCCGTGGGTGTGAGGAAGAGAGAGAGGCTAGAGAGAGTCTCATTTGCCCTCCTAGAGGGGAGGACTCCATAACTATGGTGATTGGAGCTTGTGGTAACTTGGGAAAGAGTGGGAGAGGAAGGAGAGAGGCTTGAAAAAGGAGGAGGCCATAGCCAAGAAGGTGTTTTGTGCAAGGAGAAAGAAGCCTCATCAAGATTGAGACTCCATCTCCAAGACAGTAACAAGGTGAGTGGAAGGACGAGGATGCTTCTTCTTCTTATTATTATTCTTTCTTTTTTTCTTCTTCTCTTTCTTCCTCCTCTTTTTTTTTTTTTTTTTTTTTTTTTTTTTTTTTTTTTTTTTTTTTTTTTTTTTTTTTTTTTTTTTTTTTTT